ATTATGAGGACAAGGGAGGGGAGGGAATTTTGTCTCTTAAAAGAAACAGAGCTCAAATAAAGAAGGTAAGGAAAAGCCCACAAGATGTTTTTGGATTAGGCTGCTACTCTGCAGCAAGGAGCTTTGTAGCATTTTGGCAAAGTATATAAAATCCCAGTTAAAAAAAAAAAAAAAGCACTTTATTCAGAAAGTTTGATGCTGACAACAGCTTTCAAGTGTCCAAATAATCTTCTGGAGGGCTGACCTGTCTTCTGAGAAAAGCTTGCCTGTCAGAGTGAAAGAACACATATTATTGTCTCTTAACTTCAGGTGGACATAACTTTGGAAAAGAAACTAAAGAATGAAACAGAGCACAGGCTGAGAAAAGATTTGTGTGCTTCTGTGTGCTTGTTTAGCCTGTTAGGCTATGTCTTCGATATACAAGAGAACGCATCTGTCAAGCATTGTTCCTCTTCTTCCCTTTACCCATCATTTTTCTCCTCAGGATTTCACTACCATATTACACTCAAAGGAATCTTTGAAGCCAAAAATCAGCCATTATTTTATTTTCCCCATAAGTTAGCACCTGAAGGCAAGTCAACCTTCATGCAGGTGGCTGTATCCTTGTAAATCATGGAGCTTTTAGCCTCCACCTCTCGTCCAGAGACTGGGAGCATGGAGGGAGAGAGAGATTTATTCCAGGTGGCAAAGAACAGACAAACAGAAGTTCTTGCAGCAGAACATGGAAAGCAAAGAGGGATAAAACCTGTATATTTCTGTAGAGAAATATAGAAAGTGGGCTCCCACAGTGGACTTTGGTGCCAGCTTGGCAGATGATGAGGAGGGCACATCAGTCATTGGAAGATGTGGTGCTCCCAGGTCCCTCTGTCTGAGCACCTACATCAGGTCCCCAAGGGAGATCCAGTGGACCTCTGGTTCCTTGAAATGTTCCAGAATGTGCTTCCTTCTGCAAGCAATTTTGGTTTCAGTAGCCCCGTTGACTGCTACCTTGAGAACAAAATGAATTTCTCAGCAGCTCTGTTTTGGGGATCTCTCTTTAGGACTTGTTCCTGTGCAGGCTCATGACACAAGTTGGTTCGGGAAGGCGTGCGGTGCTGGCTGCTGTTCAGAAGTGTGCTGGGGCTCCCTGGGCAGAGGCAGTTTCTCGTGACCTACCACCACATGCTGACATTCATGGCTGTTATTGTCATTCTCACCAGGGAGTGACAGATTTTTATGCGAGGTGCCAAGTCGTTAAGTAACTCTGTCTTAGTTCAGTGCCTTCCTTTTCATGCTGTAGTGATTAGATACTGTTAGAGGAGAAAAGGTTTCATACGAATTAAAGACATTGAAACTGAACCTTATAAAGGAACTGTAACACACTGCAATTTTTCTTTTTTTTTCCTATTTTTTTCCCCCAGCCTGGGTCCTCCCAAACCTCCAGCATTTCAGGTTTTGTTCAAGCCCACATAATTTGCTACATGTAGGACCAAACACTACAAATGGTCATATCTGCACATAATGACTCCATTTAAATAGCCAAAATAACTGCGAGGTTTCTCTTCAAGAAGCCTATCTTTTCATATATTCTGGCTGTAGTATTCAGAAGACAACAATAGAGGTCATTCTGCTTTAGAGATGCTTCTTTTTCAGGAATATAAGAGAGATGTTTTTTTAAGAGTGTATGTGGTATTAAAAGCCTGACATTTTTTGAAACAGATCAGGCTCTGAGTTGAATCTGAGCTCTTCTTGCATCTGGTGGCTAAAGTCAGGGTAGCAACAGCTTGGAATATACTCACACTGAGGAACAGTGTTTGGGGAGGGCATATAGCAGAGATGAAACAGGAGCTGTCAGGTTTTTTTTTTGTTTTTTGTTTTTTTTTTTTTTAGGCTGGTACAGAAAGGGCTACACTAGCAAGGTTTTAATGAGGGCAGGAAGCCTTCTCTGCAATTGGTAAAACCAGCCTAACATTTCATCTCGTGCTTATGGTAGACTAGGTTCAGTCAGCCTTTTTGGGTGGAGGCATTGCCACTGCTCCTTTTCATGTGGATGCTGCTTAAGTTTGCATACTAGCTAACCCGTAGCTTCTCAAAATGTGCAATTAAATGGCGCTTATGTCTCTCACAGAGACCTGATGTTATCACCAGTAGTTAGCTAGCCACTGCATCCGACACCTAACAAAAACGATGACAAAATTTTATAATAAAAGGAGAGAGGTTTTTGTTCTTACAATTGTATTTTTTGTGCAAGATAAATAAGTGGGATACTTAAGTGTCATGATAAATAATATAAATCAAGCTTATCTGAGTAGTTACAATCACTTAAAAAGAAGTAGGTGTGTCCTGTGATACTGTATCTTGGCTTTTCTATAACTGTTCACTTGAAAATTTGTAGCATTCAAAGGAGGATGTGTTTCTCATCTGTTTGTTGGTTTAAGGAATAGGTCATTTGATTCTCGAACACCTTTAATCACAGTTGAGTGAAATTTTTCATGGGAAAATTTTTTCAAGGCAAATTCATACTTAAAACTTTAAAACTTTTCATGTGTATAAATCACTTTTGTAACTGTTGCTTTGAGACCATTATAAACTGCTTTAGTTATAAAGTAGCACAATGTCTTTTTTTTTTAAAAAAAAAAAAAGATTTTGGGGGCTGAAATAACTGCTTCAAAAGTTCCACCCCCTACCCCTACCTTGTTTAAAAATTGTAAACTATGAGAATCAAAGGAGATAAACAAGCTTTGTAAAATGAAAATTTTCAAAGGAATAGAAATGATCATTTCAAATGTTCATTTCTGTTAAAATATCTCATTTACTTTCATTGAGGATTATAATGCCATCTTCAGAAATATGAAGTGGCAATGAACTGGAAATAAAGTTGTTACTGGCTTTGCTGTTTCACATTGGGCTGTTTTCTGAGCCCACTGATAATATGAGTGCATTGGTTGTTATACTTTTTGAGCACGTATTTTTCAGCTCATGTGTAGTTGATACCACTGTTTTTGTTCCTTCTTAAGATGATGGAAAGGTTTAAAATTTGAAATTATCACCTTTGGAGAATTGTACAGACTGCTCACTCAGAGCAAGAATTTCAGCTGACGTATTTCTGAGCTGAAAATAATGGAATTACACACACTGACACCCCGTGGAGATTTGACCATCAGATTCAGTCATTAAAAAGGTCTTAACGGTCTTAATGTATTTATCCTACTTATGTCAGAACCTGAACTGAAAATCACCTTGAGTAAATTGAACTACCATTTTTTTTTCAGTTGTCAAAAGCTACCTTTGGTTTAGCACAAGCTGTCAAAAATAAATAAATATATAAACTAAAGCCTATCTAGAGCAGCCATCCATTCTGAACCATGACTTGATGAAGATGGCATTGGGGACTTCCAGCATGATGCTGATTCACAGATTTCCAGATCAGATGTACTGACTTCAACATTAGAAAAAAGATGGTTGGGGCTCTTTTCTTCCATTATCCACCCCTTAATTGCCAGCCTAAGAAATTCATCAAGGAGTCTGAAAATCCAGCTTAATTATTCTGCATTAGTCTCATTGCAAATCTGAGATATAAATGGCTGACCCTGAAATTGGATTTTGGGAGGCAATGAGATATGATTTGTGCTGCTGTTGAATTGGCTTTGTGAAATTAATGGGATCAAGAATCAGAAAAACACTTGACAGAAGTTCTTTTTCCTCAGGAAGTGGAACTAGTTGAGTCTTGTTTATGATGTATGTGTTTCGTTTGCACTCTCATGCTTGCCATTCCTCATTCCTATGCTCTGTGACCTCCCCAACAACCAAGAAACACATAGGAAAACTGAAAATAGAGTCCGATGGCTATGCCTTCCCAATAAGCTCTGTTCCAGCCGGACAGCAAGTTCAGAAGTTATCAGAGATAGTTAATAATTTTAAAACCCACAGGGGTGTCAGAGGGAACTGCAATTGTGAAGATTGTGTACTTATTTTATTATGGCTTTAGGAGACTCATATGATGCAGGTGGACTTGAAAAATTCAACACAAGTGTATAAAATAAAGACGAGTTTGTCCCACTTCTGCCAATTGTGGTACGTACCTCAGTGTGTGAGCAGTCCCACCAGTAATAAGTTGGGCTGCTTAATTACATGGCATAGTATCTGACTTCAGGTTAGATGACAGAATACAGCTCACACATTATTAATCAATGCTTTCAGATTATTCCTTCAATGTTTGGCATATGTATTGTGTTTATAGTATTTTTAACACATATAGAGTACACTTAATTATCACATGTTGCTTCAGATAAAAGTAGTATTTAAGATAATTCCTGTATATTCCTGTCATTTAGGCTCATGATTGAAATGTTTTCCCCCCAAGGTCATGAAGATCTTGTATTCAAGCCTTTGCTAACCCTAATGAAAATGGTTGAAGAGAAGATCCTTTTAGATGAATCTCCTCATTCCCATTTCTACCCTTTGTTGAAGCTCTGCAGATGTTTTCCACATTCATGAGCATCTAAAACGTGTCTCAGTTTTACATTTATTTTTAAGAAATATTTTTTTCTTGGATCAAATCCATTATTCATTAGAAAAATAACGTTTAATTTCAGGTGAAAACTATTTTGAACAGAGCAGATTTCAGAATTCATAAAATTAGTTTTTGTTAAAGTTGTTTTTTTTTGGTTTTTTGTTTGTTTGTTCTGTTAAAAATATTTCTGACATGGCTGAATAGCTGGGCTGTTATTAAGATGTTGTCCTTTGGAACCAGTGACACTTCCACATGGGCTCTGTCTTTTTAATCAGTTGCTGCTTTCATAAAGAGCATGCCATGCACAGGAGAGTGAATTCACACATCCTTTTCTGTTCATACACGCTGGCCACTGGACTATAAATGGATGGATAATAAAAGGATGAACTTCAATGAGCACTCGACTATTTGCAAGATAAACATGTGTTGATGAGTAAGAACTTTGTTGATATGCCTGAAGTAGTTCAAATAAAGACTGTGTCACATGTATTTTTGTTGTTATTTTTAGAAGTCCAGCTCCAGTGCGACCTGAAACTACGCCTTCAACTGGCCCTACAGAAAAGCAGGAAATTAAAGTTTCTCGTGTGAGGAAGTTAACCAGACAGTACAGCTTGTGAGTAACGTATAGCACTATCTGTGTTTTTGCCTGCTGCAGCTGAAAATGAAGGGGGATGCTAATTATTGCTCTAGCTGCTCTTTCTGAAAGGCATGGATGCAATTACATGATAATGATCTTACACTGATACTGTTCCTTTCATCTCTGAGAATCTTTAAGCTTTTAAAACTTGTGAATTTGCCATCCCTATGCAGATACTAACCTCAGAATTGCAGACCCTCTTTTTCTGAGATTACAGGTTAGAAATTAAAAATCCCTTTTCCACATGAAATGTCAAAGACATGGTGTGTGTTGGAGCAAGCTGCTCTGTCTGCTTCATTATAAGCCCATTTGCAAAATGAGGGAAACAGTCCTTAGCTTTTAGGTGGTCAAGCTGTGCTGTCAGCTGTTCCCTCCTAGAAAGGGCGCACGCTCTCTTTCGCTCTGTGATTTTGTCGCTGGCAGAAATTGCTGAGTATGCTACAGTTATGGTAGCAAAGTTAAGCCTCTTACTCCTGGCAAGATCAATCTATGCCTATAGAGCTTTGACATCCCATTTACACCTAGTTCATCTAATTTTAGAGTCTGGAGATGCAAGATACTGAATAAATGTGGAAATCAGTTTGTTGGTTTGTCCTTCATATGAACCGACAGACAAGGCCACCAGAACCTAGGGGACTAAGCTGACTAGAAAAGGAATAAAAGAGAGTGTCAACATAAACTTACTAATACAAGAACACCAATTTTGCAACGAAGAAAGAATTATATGTGGTTTCTATGTGGAATGGCAACCATTAGTACCTCTACCAATTTAACTTTCTAGTGTCACTAAATATATAGCAAAATTAGTGGAAGTTTTCCTTCCATCCAAAAAGATTCTAATAAATGTCAATAAGCAATTATTTTGTCTCACTGTCAAGAACATAAAGGAAAAAAAATAATGACAAAAATATTTAGGAGAAGAAACAGGAGAATGAATCAAACTGAAGCTAGGAGGAAAAGGAGCATTTAGCCAAATCGACATTTGTCCAAGAGACCGAGGCTAACATATGGGAACACACAGCCACAGCTTGGTCAGCAGACCATGACATGACTCTTTTACCACAACAGATCAGCCAGCATGGTTTAAAAATGCTACAGGAGATGGGAATTGACAACTCAAGCTGGGAAGAGAACCCAGGTTCCCTTACTGCCTGTTAATCCTGAAGGTAACATGACAGGTAACATGGCAGCATTTGATAGGAGCAGGTTCTCAAGACCTGAGAGCCTGTTTACTCCTTGTGCCCAGCAGAGCTCAAAAAGCAGAATGCTTTTCTTGGGTGAGATGCCACCTCTACTTCCTCTTTTTCTAGAAGCCAGGAGAAGGAAGTCCCCTACATATTTCAAGATGCATCTGATTTTTCAGATTTTCGTATAAAACAGATTTTTGTAGATAGCAGCCAGCAAAGGAAAAAGCTGTGGCACACAGAGGACCACTTACATTACGTTATGCATGTGGCAGATAATGAAGAGAATATGATGGCTGATGTGTAAGGATGGGCAAGAAATCCATGTCCTATTGCAGGCATAGTCACGTGTTTTGTATGCATACTTTGAAAAGTTCTCTAGTTAAGCTTTAGCATAAGGAGGTTGTTAAATTGGTCCTCAAATACTTCTGTGTAGCAAACAAAGAGAGCGGGGTTACACTGCATAGACAATTTTCAGGTAAAAAATACCTTAGTAACATTATATATGCAAAATCAGATTTCCACTGGAACCATCCAAGTAAGGTAATAAGATAAGGTGGTGCTGAGAATAGTGAGGCTACTGAGAAATCAGTTTTTAAGAGTCTGAGAGGAAAAAAAAAGTCTGTAAGGTGTTTACCAGTAAATAGAAGGTGACGGCTAATGAAGGAGAGATGTTGGTAAATGGACATAGAATAAGGAAAATAGATACCTCAAGGTATACAGTGAAGTCCAATGCTCAGACTTTTGTCTAGCATGCTGATAGTTTGATGACTGATAAGACTGGACCTTGACATTTTGGTTCCCAGACATGAAGAAGCCTTTCCTAACTGGCAGGTTCTCGACAATTTTCCACTTCCTTCTCTGCAACAGAACAGCTTTTCCCAGCAAGGATGGGGAGGGTGCCAATGTGTTCCTACTGAGAGAGGGGAGCAAGAGCTGAGAAAAAATGTCAGCAATGTGTTTCTGAAAGAAAGATTAACTAGGTCAACAACCAAAATCTGGCCTGTTAGATTAATAAAACATCTACTTAGTAGGTCCGAAAGATTTTGCATTTTCTTTCCAGCATAAAAACAGTGTATTCCACGTGCTCTGGTGATTAATTCTATCCTTACCCAGAAGAGATAAAAAATGAAGCATGGAAAAGATGTCATTAATGTCCATACCTTTATGCCCCCACAAAAACACACACACACACACAAACAAAAACAAATACAAAAAAAAACCCTACAACACATCCAAACAATTCAGAGGAAGGCTGTGTACCCTGTGTGTAACATAGGTTTGAAGTATTGTGTTGCACAGGCACGCTGTAGAGGTACCAAGCACAGTTGTGTTCTGGAAATGTCTATCAAACTGGCATGGCAGGGCTCTGTGCCATTTAAAAGCAAGGCTCAGTTAATATTTGTGCCATTTTCTGAGCAGAAAAAAAAAAAATCCCCACGCTTTAAACTGTCAAATTATAGTCTTTCCTTTCTACACATCATTCCCAGTAATAAAGGTTGTGTATGCCAAATTGTAACTCTGTTTACCTCCATGCAATTTCAATTAGCATTTGGAGAAATTCTGACCCCGGGCTGACTGATCCCAATAATTTGTAGTCAATGGGGGTCTACAGAAGTAAATGAAGGTACAATATTCTCTACTGGCTTTCATTTAGTGGTGATGGTAGGTGAGATGGAAAGAGCTCAGCTGGATGTCCTAAAGCCCAAGGGAAGTGTGCAAACTGGGTTTGAATTAAATGTTTTCTCTGCAAACTGAATAAATGGAACATGAGGAACATACCCTCACAAGAATGTTTCTACAGAGCTCCTCCTCAAGTTGATCAAAGTCCTTTAAAGCCAGTTTGGAAATAATATCATGGAGCAACTGCATGCCAAATCCCCTTAAGACTAAGGGGTAGTATTAAGCCAGTAAAGCAGTCGGTCCTGTAGATGGATCTAATGAGGTCTGTTCTTATCAATACAGCCAACCTCTGTAGAAGAAATTATGAACATTAAAGTAGAGCAATGTCAAATAAGTTCATGTATTCACATATACATGCTCCATAGAAACACTACTTGCACATCATGCCCTTAAGATTTCCATTTGTAGATGAGGGTTAACTAGCCAACTGATTTCTGAGGAATCTTTAAGGCTTAAAAAATCCAACTTACTTGCCAAGTTAGCTGCAAACACTGCATTACAGATGGAACAGAATTTCATTCCAGAGCACTTGAGCTGACATACAGGTGTCCGGTGCCTCCTCCAGAAGAAGTCAGGTTCAAAGTTGGGTGATACATGCTAATGAGAAGATCTGTCTGCTTTTATCAACCGCAGTGACGAAGATGACCTTCCACCAGCACTGGCGGCAGCAGCAGCGGCATCAACCTCTGTGTCTTCAGCATCTCCCGGGTCACAGAAAACTTGTACACCACAGACGTCAGAAGGACAAACGCAGGTTTCGCCTGGCGGCAAGGTAATATGCAAAGAGTTGATCTTGTGTCAGTTGGGAGAGTATTTGGGAAGAGTGGGAGGGAGTAACAAGTAATGTTTTCCTTAGATGAAATAATTCCATATTTCAGAGTAGGTTTTAATCCAGTGTTGTCACAATATGTATAACCTTTTTTGTAAGTGCAGCAGCCAGGAAATATTCAGAGCCCAATCCAAGACCCAACAAAAATCAATAATAGGTTTTCATCAATTTTGGGGGGCAATAGACCATCATTAAATTAATTTTTGCCTTGATTTCAAAGGTGCATGGCTTTGTTGTTCATCTCTCCTGAGTACCCATATTTAACATTGCATGAAATTTGAAATCTGTTTGACAATTTATGCTTTAAGGAATAAAACCAAAAACCACAACAAAGAAAAAAACAAATAAAACAAAACAAAACAACAACAACAACAAAAACACAACTAGAATTAAGGAAACCAAAAGTTTTCTTCAAAACTGTGTTCCTCCTTTGCTTTTCAGAGTTCCACAGATGCTGGGAGCACTTTTGCTTTGGAGCCAGGTGACCTTCTGATGGATTTCACAGAGGCCACACCTATGGTAAATAATTTCAGTTTGCAACCAGAAAAGTGTAAAAGTTTTCAATAATTTCTGTGCAGCTGAAATGAATGGGTTACTATGCAGTGGGTTGGATGGTGCACGGGAATAAAATAAATTTCCTTGATATGCAATAATCCTGAGCACCTGTCAAACTCTGCATCGTAGAAAATCTATTCACATCAACAATTGTGGCTGAGCTTTTGAATGTGATTTTTTATTGTTGGATGACTTTTCATTTCTCTTCTACCTGGATAACCTTACACTTTGCTCCACTGCTTTCACCAGCCTCTTTTGTCCCCTTACCGTAGATTCATGATGTGATCATAGATTTGCTTTTTGGAGTTGTCTGGAAAGTCCCTTCTCAACACAGGTTTTGTTCAGACCTTATCCAACAGGCAACCCAAAGACATGTACTTGCACTTCCGTGTTTCATTAGCACAGCGTTTTGCTTCAGATTAAAGCAAAATAGTCTGTAATGTTGATGATTAACTTATTTTTTTTAAAGGTATGTGATTTGTGTTTTTTGCTTAAAAGCAGAAGAGAGATGCTGTCCCACTGAAATCAAAATGCCACTTGATTTCAGTGATCTCAGGCTTTCACCTCAGACTTCCAGCAGATTACTTGAAGGATCACAGTATGATCCTTAACTTTCTCCAAGTCATCCTGCATTGCAAATAGCTCTAATGCCAGATAGCTCTGCTGTCGAAAGCTGTTTTTGCTGTCTTCTAGAAACTGCATTTTAAGTGTATAAAACATAACAGTGTCATAACAGCATTCTTGGCATAAATATTTCTGTATTGAAGTACCTGTTCTGGACATTGCTTTCAATACGTGGTTATGCCCTAGTTTACAGTATCAGGAAGGTGTTGTGGGGACGTGCCTTTTACTTCAGAGAAATTAGGGTATGAGTTTGTAGGTAATGGTTTGTGTCCTGTCACTGCTGGAAGAGCAATGTGGCTTCCCCTGCAAGTCTGGCAAAGCAAAGAGGTATTCCTCCTAGGTTCCTCCCTGCTTGCAGAAAGAGATGGGGATATCCAGTTGTGGCTTTTGGGCTTTGAAGGCATGTAGCCATCCCTGCAGAGTCCAGGAACCTCACATTTCCATGAGCTCTGTTTCTGTGGATGCCCAGTCTTTAGATCTCTGATGTTAATTGCAGTGCTAGACCATGCTTATTAGCAATTCTCCTGGTATTCTTGGCATGCTCCCAGCCAGTCCTGCGTAAGCAGCGAGTTATGGTAGGGGCACCAGGTGTACTATGCCTAGAGACCTGCTGCTGTGGGTGTTTGATGAAGGCAGGTTTGGTGCATGGGACTGGGCAGAAGCTAGGAAGCTTCTGAGTTTGCCACTGGCATGCTGCAGTTTGGGAAAACACTGTCCCTAGAGGGACAGAGAGATCTGCAAGGCTTTTCTCTCTTGTGCAGTTTTAAGCCTGTGGGGTTGTTTCTTCACAAAGTCCATAAGGGCACTTGATGTGTACTTCAGGGGTTTAGTAAGCAGGTTTTGTTTTCTTCACCTGCCATCAGAGTCCTATCACCACCCACCCTGTTCCTGACCAGTCCTTGCACCCCCAGACTTTTATAATGCAGGTGTTGGATCTCTTAACTGCAGCAATTGAAACTGAAGGGGCCTTCTATCCACCTTCTATCCACCAGCCCTGGGGCTCCTTGGTGAGAGAGCTGTTCCAGCACTAGCAATTACATTGAGACTACCATGCTTACTGCTCCTGCATCTGCCAAATAGGAGGGACAAGTCTGCTTTTGTACCTGAACATCCCACAGAAAAATGAGGAGTGTCTACAGAAAAGGGAAGGTTTACCTGGGACCTTCTTGATGTGCTGGATCATGAAACCATCCCATTCCAGAAAATGGTAGAGAGGTATTCGAGTCAAACTACCTTCCCCTGTATGTTTCTGGGGGAAGAGAAAATTAAAAAGGAACAGAGGAAAGAGAGAAAGATGCAGGGTTAAACATTCTGCAGTCTTTGCCAGTAGTTCAGGCTGATAAGACACAGGCAGATTGAAACAGATAGGTTACATTGTTCTTTGTAGTATTAATAACATGTTTGTGGCTAAACTGTAATTATATAATTGGAGTTTATGAATATATTTCTTATTCTAAAAAAACATTACACCATAGTTAACTTTAATAATCTGAATATTTGAAAATGAGGCATGGAGACTTTAGCAGCTGACCTGCCCTAGACAACATAGGTTTGAGTTTTGTTTCCATTTAATAGAAGAGAACATTACATAGTTTTCCTTTTCCAGGCAAGGGAATAGTGGTTTTTTTTTGTTGCTGTTTTGTTTTGTTTTGTTTCCCTAAAAACTTCACCTAGTCATCATTTCCCTTTCCTACCCCACCACCCACTGACATAATATATCATACCGTGTGTTCATAAACTAACCTTCCATGACTTTCTTGGTTTTAATATTTCAGAGAGCTTGTACTGCACAGCATCAATCAGCCCTTTTTGTTTTGTTTAATGTCTATAAAGGTCAGCTTGTTCTCTAAAGAGTAGTTATTGTTTACAGACCTTTCCCTGCAGTTTCACTGGCTACAGGTTGCTGTCAATTGAGGTTTGAATGAAAAGTTTACTCATAAGGGAGTGAGGCTCCAAACAAAAGCAAGCTAAATACATAAATACATAGCTTTGAGCCACTCTGAATATTTATAAATTCTGTTGTGGCAACGTGTGCTGTCATTTAAGGGTCAAGATCACATCCTGCTTAGCTTCATGTTAACTGGCAATTCAGCGGTAGTGTGCTGGGTTTGCACACTGTGGTCTGGCAGTTGGTTTGTTGCTTGTTAATTATACCCTTATTTGTTTCTTTTCCAGTGACATGTGCATTATCTGAAGGGGTCATTCATGCTGCCTCATTTGCCTGAGGTGATAGGGTTGGGAGTTCAGGTTCCTACTTAGGCAGAGTTTCCTGCTGAGGGGCATTCAGGCAGCTGACTTCTCTTTGTTGCCTGGAATAAGGCACCTAAATTGCACACCTAAACTCAACTTTATTTTGGTCCTGATATATGCTGCCAAACTTCCCACGTTGACTGCAGAGCTGTTAATTTGAAGCAGTTTCAGACATCCTCCCTTCTCTTCTGTAACATCACTGGCAGGGAGTGATTAATAGTCACTGACTCAGCTGCGTGATCTTTGTTGTTCAGTGTTTGATCATTGATGCTTCTTGATGGCCTTGGGTTTTATCCATGTTTTGCTGCTGTTGCCCGTACAGTGGAAGCTTTAAAACACGCTAAGGGTTAGAGTTAGAAGTGGAGCTCACAAAATCAAATTAATTTATAAAAATGGAAGGATTAGTGAATAGATTGGACTAATAGTATTCATCCAGGCTACCATGCAGGGATCAGAGCAGGCAAATTTGTCTATTCTGTCAGCCTGGAGGAATTACTGTGATGTATACGAGAACCAGCTGAGCGCTAATGGTCACTTAGTCATCAATACTTAGACTGCCAATAACAACAGGGCAGTGGCGAGGCAGAAAATCATTTTGCAGGAGAACTAATGCATATTTAGTAATGCAGATTGCCTAGAAGTGAAAGGTATCCTTCTGTGCTTTGCACTCTTCAAACCATGTGGTTTATGCATGCCTCTACTCAATTTTCAAGTAAATCCTATAGTTAATTGATTACAACACATTACATGCAGTCCTTAAAATCATTATAGCACATGCAGAAGAAAATCCTTGTCTTTCTGTACCACTTCATTGTGACTTTTAACACCGTGCCTGGCATGTATATTATCAAGGTTTAATGCCTGCTGCATTCTGTGTTTCAGAAAGGAACTGGATTGATTGTTTGTTTGTTTGTTTGTTTTTGTCTGTTTTTGATATGTTATACATGAAAAAATACAGTATCATATCATAAGCATCCTTACTCTGTTTTTTTTTTAAACTAGTCAGCATTGTGGTAGGCTCTGCCTACTTAGCATTGTAGTAGGCTCTGCCATCAGACTGCATCTCTCTCTCATCTTTCTAGCTTTTATGGAACTGAAAATCAAAGCTTAAGCTTGCAGCTATTCTGTTCCAGCTTACAGCCAGCATGATCTGTGACATGGGTATGAATGCAGAGCTTTCTTGTTTGATTACAGAAAGCTCAGTCCCAAGACCCTGAGTGAATGTGGCAGCTGCTACACGGTGCTGACAAGTACCTTCCCAACCGAGACAGAAAGGCAATGTGTGAAAACTTCTGTTTGACCTAATGGAATAGGACAAAATAAATAGGAATGAACAGTCATATATAAAATGTGCTTATTTCTAAACTTTGGCTATGATTTATAATACAAAGTGAATGGGATAGGACTTAACTATGATCACATCTCAAAAGGTATCAGAGAGCATTGATTTACAACCAGCTGTATACTTGCAAACTCTATATGTTCTTATTTCATGCTGTATCCATTGGAGAAATTTCTAGAGCATCACCTGCCATCTATTGGTGGAGAAGAGTAAGCAGACAATTATTTGCTTTTTCAAAACTTGAGATACAACATCGAAGAGGTACAAATTATTGGCACAATTGTTTAAAAATGAAAAATACATGGCCATCAGTGTAGGCCTAGATACTTTTACTTAAGTTGAGTTGAAAACAAATATTTTATTTCAGTAGTGGCATTAGTAGTGTAAACAATCCTGTTCATTGGAAGTGATCACACTAAGTTTGAAAAAATACAGAATTTGATGCATTAGCACCTAAATTTTTGGAAATAAAATGAAGCAACCAAGTCAAAAGGCAGTCATCTCTAGATAAGACTGTGAGAAGTATTAGTAACTTGATGGGGGCAGTATAACATCCTTGCAAATTCTCAGCACATAGTTATATCATAGGGGAGGATAAGTAAATATGTGCCTCCTGCACATAGGGGAGGATAAGTAAATAATATCATTTCACTCCTCATTAACATTTATTATATTGATAAAGAAGAGTTGACTGGATTTTTAGTTGCTAAGCTTTTATGACAATATTGCAAGGTTGCAATAAGCCAAA